CTAAAGCCCACCGGAGATGCACGATGCGCCTTGATGTCACTTCCCGTCGTCGACATACATTCTTGATTTTTTGTATTTATTGCCTTAGTATTTCCCTTTTTTTCACTCAGTTTTTCCATCCTCTCACTCCTTTGTTTCTTATTCCTGGATACTTTATTTATATCATTTTGTCTTGTATATATATTTTTTCTTCATTATTTGTTGTTTCCGTTCTCAACTTTTGTTGGTTTATTTTATCCTATTACCTTTTCTCCGCTAATTAACATTTAAAATATTTTTATTGTCGCTTATATTTGACTTGCATTTCAGTTGTTTGTTTTCATTTTTTCGCAATATACAAAAATCGCTCTTATCATTTCATATATTTATACATTTATTGAACAATAGTTTTCTCTCCTTTACTTATTTTCTAATTTTCATTGTAATATGCAACTTCTTATGGTGGTATTCTATATTGGGAAATCAATAAACGTTAATTCACTTTCCCTCTATTTTTTAACACAACAATTCATTACTTTTTATATAAATATTTTAATGTAAGCAGTGATTTATACAAACAATTTCATGAGGATTGCATTGTGTGAATGATTCTGAAAGAATTTTTTTCCTTATTTTACTAAGAAACAGAAAAAAAGATTACTACAAATGCTGATTCTGTCTTTTGTTCAATATGTAAAATTACAATTTTTAAAATATTACTTTCTGTTTAGATAAATTCATATTAATGTAATCATTTTTTAGATCTAAATACCCCCATGTGTAATCTTCTAGTGTGTAAAATCTATTCGAATTGAATGACTATTAGATTTTGTGATTTGGAATTTTTATTTATCTTTTCAAGATGACGCCTATTCATCTGAATATGAAGACGCCTATTTCATTCTTTTCACAACTTACCATCTGGTGCCCTAATTAAGAATGGAACCTATAAACAATCGATTATTAGAATATGAACTCTAAGTATTTATGATAATAACTTTTATTATTTTTTTTATAGAGATAGATGAAATTCTTGAATGTATTTCTCTTAACGTTAGCCTATAAACCAATTCAACACGGAATGTTAACGATTAGAGAATCCAAGAGTTTATAGTCAGTGATAATTTGACTACAATCTTAACAATTAAACATTCTTCATAGTTACGAAGTGAGAGTACAGCTATCGGCGATTAAAGACACAGACCAGGATATCTTTTGAGTGTACATGTTTACTATGGATAATGAAACTAACAGTGGTAAAAACGTTCTTGCATTGATTGTAGACTTTTAAAGGGTTAATCTTTTCAAGTTCAGCAAAGCATCACAATATTGCCTATATTACAGCTTTAATATTAAAATGCACAGCGAAAACTCTGATTTCTATGAAAACATCATAGTACGGCCATGGACGTACGTCGACATCTGGAAATTCATATTTGTCTCCCCCACATGAACATGTGCAGCAAGCATTATGCGCAGATCCTCTGCCGAGAGTTCTAAAACAGGACAACCTCCAGACATGGTGAGCAACAACCAATCCAACCAATCACGAGCTTATTCTAATTTTTCAGATAAAGACACAAGTATACTGTGGTCGAATTGATCAGAATATGTAAATAAACTAAAGAATCTATAAGAATGTAGCTATTGTTTAAAAGACAACATAGGAAATTACAAGCCCATGAAATTATTTAAGAATAACTTATTGAAATTCCGAAAAGTATGAAAATCAACTCTGTGAATAAGCAGTTGGTTGAACTGCATAGGTTTTTCTTCTCATTAACTTCTAGTTAAATCAGTCAAATGCTTCGAACCGATTTTAAAAGTCGATTTGTTTATTTACTGTACAGAATGTTCAAATTTATTAGTGTAAACAGAGGATATAACCAACTTATCATTAGAAGTCGTTTAACTGTATTGTAGTAATTGAAATTAGGTGATAGGTAATCTCAGAATCAGGTTTTATTCTACTTGGTACTCATCAGCAACATTTACTCATAATCTTAAGGTAAATTATTCTCCTTGATGGTTCCATCCGGATTAGCCATTGAAGCCAAAACGGACAATTGGATGAAATGAGTGGGAGGACAGAGTATCTGATTTCAATTTCATCATTAAAGAAGATGAGTGAATGCTTATACTTCTATTACTGGCAATATATCATACTATCGAATAGAAATTGTGTACTTTTAGTACACGTGAACATTTGGTTTTTTTTTAATGAATAATTCAAAAAACATCAGTGAAAACAATAACAGGGTTTAACTAGAGGTGATAATATCATCAGTATATACATACTAATTGTAACAGAATCATTATTTAAAAATCATTGAACTTTAACGGATGATGTTTGGATGTGATATATTTGTGAAATACAAAACTGAAAAAAAAATCTTAAGACACTAAGATATAAATTGTGATTTCAATTCATTTTACTGGAATGAAATTTGCTGTACAAAATGTTTATATTATGTAGTAGACCCGGTTTTTTGATTAATGTCGCAAATACTTGTATATTACAACGATCGAAAAAGTATATTTAACCTTGTAAATAAGAATAGAACAATAAGTCTAGTTATAATTAATCACATATTCCAAAACGGAAGCTTGCATAATGATGTATTCTTTCTTGAACCATATTCTGTGATGTGCTGTTTAATATTTTGATAAATGACCAGTGTATTTAGTCCTTGACCTGACCTAGCCGAAAAATTATGTTCCTAAGCATTTTACACACTTTTATCATAAAAGGAAAAGACATCTCTTTTGAATTTCAAATAGTTTATCTAATTAGTTTTGTTGTGTATACATGTACACAGTTATTGTAAGCGTCATTTTGTTGGTTTTGTAAGAGAAATCTGCTGAAATATTGCGTGCTGAGAATTTCTTATTGTACTGAACATAATGAATAAATTTGTTAACATTCTCATATTTTATTCATTTGAGTTTATCACTTACTTGATTATCAAAACACTTGTAAATGCTTTAATTCTATAATGATTATATGATGAGCCCATGTGATGTTGCTTTCATCTCTTACGATTGGTGAAAATATAAATGTTACTAAACTAAATTACAAACTGATCTAAGCTAAATTGCTGTTGAAATTGTGTGTGCGATTGTCGTCCATTTTGTCCTAGTTGTGTGTGTATTCACACAACGAATATTAAATTTTCTCATACTGACTAATATGCAGACAAATAGACATATTTCTTGCATAGAATCATCTTGACTGGAATAATATGTCGTTGAATTATCGTTTGTTACTTTGTACCACTTAAGCTTAAGCTAACGTATACGCAAAAATAATATTTGAATATTCCCAGAGAAGGATACCTCATCAAGACATCAAAGAGAGAATGAGATCTTTGCAACTGTGAAAAATACAGAGGCATTACACTATGCTCAATACCAAGGAGAGTCTTCAACATTGTTGATTAACTGAGTAAAAGATTCAATAGACGACTGACTGTCAGATAGGCAGGCTAGGTTCCGTAAACATCAGTCGTGCGTCGAGCGAATTGTGACACTACGGATCATCGTGAAACGATCAACTGAATGAACCTCACTACTATATACCAACTTCCTTGACTAACAAAAATCATTTGAGAGTGTGGTCAGGGTGACACGTCGGTGTATCTTTGACATCACGGTTTACATGAGAAGACAGTCAAAAAACATTCGGAATTCTTGTAGTGGATTAAACTGCAAAATCGTGCAACGAGGACAGCTCACAGACTCATTACAAGTGAAGACAAGTATCATTAAAGGTTGCTTACTCTCAACCTTTCTCTTTCTTATGGAGGTTGACTAGATTATTTAAGTTCCGAGAAATCGGGAGAAGCACGAGATACAGCGGAAAGGTAGGATACAGCTGAATGATTCAGACTTCGCAGATGATACAGCTTTCCTATCCCATATACAACAACTAAAACGGGAGAGGACGGCCACTGTAGCATTAGCCTCAGAAGCAGTAGGTTTCAACACACACAAGAGAAAAGCAAGACCCTTAGATTCAACAAAACATGTACCAGGCAAATCACACTCGATAGCGAAGTTCTGGAAGATGTGCGAACATTTACATACTCTGACAGTATCATTGATAAGCAAGGTGGATCTGATGCATATGTGAAGGCAAAGATTCTCAGAACAAGAGTATCATTTCCACATCTGAAGAAAATCTGGAACGTGAAACAACTGTCAACCAACAACTAAGTCACAGTTTTCACTAAAAACGTCAAAACAGTCTTATTGTTTGGAGTGAAAACTTGAAGACACAGATGTTTATTAACAGTTTTCTACACAAGATACTGCAGACACATTGACCAGGCACCATGAGCAACAACCTACTGTAGGAGAGAACGAATCAGATTCAAAGTGAGCAAGAGGTTAGTTAAAATCTCTGAAGGTGGATAGAACATAAATTGCGAAATCCTCCAACTTCACCATGAAGCAAGCCCTAACTTGGGATCTTCAAGGTAAGAATTGAAGAGGTATACCAAAAAACACACCATGCCGAGAATCAGAGACAAATATGAAGGAATAAATGGGGATCGGGTAGAACTGGAAAGGCAGGTTCAGTATAGAGTAGGTTGGAGAATGCTTGTCGGCTGCCTATGTTCCATTCGAAGTAATTAAGTAAGAGGAATAACAACCGAACGACTGAAGTCCTAACTGATTATTCACACCCATGTTCGCATTGATGAATTATTTTTCACACCTCTTTGCTATGTACCCTTAAAATCTATTATCAAATAATATTGACATATTTCAAAATGGTACAATCTGGAAGGGGCTGGAATTTATTAACGACTTACTGATCGAGATCTGCTGCGACAGTGCATTCTTAAAGAAATACATTTATGCAGTTAAATGTAAGATAGAGATTTCGAAACCTCTATTCTTTAAACTGCAATTCAACGGAGATGAGGCTAGAGATATCCTGCACGATAGATTGGCAAAGCCGATCTGTCGGACATTCTACGCAGCCAATCTTGTGTTGACATTCTCTAGTTGACAGGAGATGTTTACTCAAACAAAGGATTAGCTACCTCAATCGGTCTATCCAATGTACATTTACAAATTTAGCTGCTCTTATGGAGATAGCTATATTGGGCGTACTACCAGGAAACGTTATGGTGCCTCCACATACATTCATGTTCTATCTCTTTGAGTTGGCTCTTTGCCTTCTCCAACGCGCTTCGCCTATCCATTCGCTTCCTTCGTTTTATTCACTGCTTCTCCGCTTCGCTTTGTAGTGTTGTAGTGCTTCCACATATATTCCAGT